TGTTTACCACTTCTCCAGAGTCTATTCTTATCATGCTAAAAAATCACCATCTCTAGAGTGCTGAGGAATGATAAGAGATTTGGACTAAAGAAGAAGAGTTATCACTGTGTTGCAACACACTTTGTCTAGAATCAACCACACCACAACATAGTTCCGGGGCACATTCACGATAGTTAGGAATTTGTCATCCATTTTTTATTAGGAAAATAGTGTTAAGAGTCCTAAACTAAATAGAATTAAGGAAAATAAAACCTCAACCCTTGTGGGATATAAATATAAGTCTTTTAACATTATTTTGGGGGATATTTTGGGGAGAATTAGGGGAGGCTAACGCAAGTGAAGATCAGAGTGATAGAATTTCTGGAGCTTTTGTTTACAATATAGATTAGTCTCCTTATTTCTTTCTAGAACTCATGTTTCTTATTTCAATAAAGATGATTGTTTCTTTCATGTTGGTCATGAACTAAATTTATTCTCTAGGGTTAAGATGTAGCCCAATCTCTTGATTATGTGTTGATTTATGCATGTTAATTTTTATTAAGATTTTTTCTCTAAGTTTTACTATTAGGCTTAATGCTTTCGATTCTTAAGAGCTCAAGAATTGAATGATCAACGGTAGGTTGAGATTGAGAGATGATACCTAGTTGGTCTGCAGTAGTAAAACCATAGGTTGAGCGAACGTTAGAGATAGTGTAAAACCCCTCCCTAGCCGAGTATTTCCTAAGTATCCCTTGGCCATTGAGAACCTAGAAAACGCACGCCTAGGAAAGAAGTTTATTTTAAAATCCTATTTAAAGAATAAACTTGTAGTTTAAAAATATATATATTTTTATTTTAATTTAATTTCTAAACTATAATAAGTTCATTGTACAAGTCAAAAATATAGTTTCCTTTCTTGGAGTACATTATGAAATCCATAGTAGTACTTACGAGAACATACACACTTTTACAAAATTTACTAATAATTTGATTTCTTCTATTAACACAAATATATATATTCCATAATAACATAGACATATTTACTGCATTATGAGATATAAACATAATTACTACACTAAATACTAACAAAACAATTCAATAGTCATAATTAAAACATCCCTTCATGCTCATAGCGTCCCTCGGAATCCTCTCCCAGCTTCATGGCTTAATCCTTACCTGCAAAACATTTTAAAATATTTCGTGGGGTGAGCGCTAATCGCTCAGTAAGGAATATGGCCATTTATAAACTATTAAGGTTCATTATACATCATTTTACAAGTATATTACTTAGGACCTTACCTACCTACAAAATATGACCTTCATTCTTTAACATAACAAGTTCATAAAACATATCATACACTTTGGACTTTTCTCATAAACATAAGTCATAACATAATCATACATAATATAACATAGAACATATATGACTTATGAAATATTCATGTACATGGCATGCTTATTTCTTTTGTCTTTATACTTGATGGTTTCATTAGTCTTTGTTATCCGATCGGATTCATTTAAACCATTACCTTGTTCTTGGTCGTCACCTCAAAGGACTCATGGTTTCCATAAGAATTCCATTCCTCTGATCTTGGTTTATACCTCAAGAGACTCATGGAATTCATTCTTTAACATTTCATAAATTTTTCATAAGACAACTAAATAAGCTATATGCATTACCATTATGAATGCAAACATATGGACTAACATATCCCATGCTCAATCATACTATATTCTCCTACTAAACTTCTTAACTTAATTCATTCAATTTCTCATACAATACAAGTAATTTCAGTAGTAAGATTATTCAGGGGTTTATTAGAATTAGAAAAAATTGGGAAATTCCATGAAGAAGGTGGATGCCATATAGTTTGTCACTTTTCAATAAATTTTTCCCTTATCTTCCAATTCGAATTGATTTTTCACTAAAGCATAAAAGTTTTAGGTATATTCCCCACTTTTCAAAACTTCAAGAATCAACTCAATCGGACTTCTATAACTTCAGTTATGACCAATTCAGTGAAGCATGTACAGTATAAGTCCTAAAAAGCCAAATCCGAATTTTATTCATTTTAACCATGTCACCTTCATTTGCACATTCACATCATTTGCCATGTCATTCTAAGTATAAAATGCCATAAAAATCTCCCTTTTTACAGAACCAAAAAGTGCCAAAACATCGTCCAACTACAAATCTCTTAATTGGCATAATCATCCTCCATATGCACACATACACCAATCAACACACCAATTTAAAGAATCCATAACCGAAACATAGCATCACACTCATATTAACATAAGTAAATGTAAGTTCCATAAACCCTAGGTGTTATCAATTTTAGTCATAAGGGAGATTTTTTTCCTTACCTTAGTATCCAAAGCACAAAGACACTCCTCCTTAGCTCCAAAGGTTCACCCTTTCTACCTTATACACATAACCACTTATGAATTTCTCTTTTAACTAAAATATCAGAAAAACTAGGGTTTTGAAACTCACCTTAAACTCTGAAATTGAAGTTCTTTAAGTGTGAATGGTGATCTCCTTTGAAAATCAACTTGAAATCCTATGAAAATTTGAGAATAAAATGCTTGGATTGGTGGCTTTTATGGTGGATTTGAGGGATGAAGAAGAAGATGATATATTTGGGGTGTACAAGGCGGACTACTCTCTCTCAAAACCTTGTAAATATTTATTCCATTGTTACTCTAATGTGATTGGTCAATAAAAGTTAGATATAAGGGTCATTTGACATAATTTTTTTCATATAAGGGCGTTTTGCTCATTTCTACCACAACATAATAATTAGCACTCATTCAATGCCATTTGACTTCTTTAAAACACTTAACAATTAAGCAATCCCATTAGGTAAATGACTAATTTACCCTTGGTGCACTTTTATGGATACTTAAATCATATGGATTTGTATGAAAAGACCATTATACCCTTGGTTACTGTTTATGCCATTTAACCATATCAATCAACTTTATGACCATTCTACCCTCATTTCTCTTCAATGACATCACCCCTTACACTTTATAATGGCCACATCTTGAAATACATGTAAATTGACCATTTTACCCTTCCATTCAAAAAAAAGAAAATTACTTGAAAAGGTAAATTTCATACCTTAGGGCATTGGAATAATAATGCGGGGTTTACAGATAGGTTACCGCAACTTGTGAGGTTCTGGTAAATTCCATAGAACGTAATGATCTCCAATTGCTTAAATCTTATTAGAGATAATTCGGGTTAGTAATTAGTAGTTAATTCGATAATTGTTCGAGAGAAATTTATTGGAAATTTAGGGAGTTGGACATTTAGGAAGAGCTTAATAAAATTAGCATAAGTGATCAATACATATGAATAAGAGTTGGTGTGAAATATATGCCCTAGGTCTAGTCATCTTGTTTTAACCCAAAGATTTATTTTAATTGTTCTTTTTTAGTTCTGTTTTAATTTCAATTATTACTCTTTTTAATTTAGGTTTTCCTTGATATAATTTGGATTGATCAAATAGTAATAGGATAGTTTAAATTGGTAATTGATAATAGTAATTCCCTTGGGTTTGATATCCGTATTTATACACTTTATTACTTGAACGATTTCGTACACTTGCGAAAATCCACAACAAGTTTTTGGCACCGTTGCCCGGGAATTATTTATTTTTCTATATCATTACAAACTATTCAGTTGCTAGTTTGATTTATTTTATCTTTGTTTTAAAGTTAATTTTTATTTTGTCATGTTTGTTTGTTTGTTTGTTTGTTAGTTTGTTTAATTGTTTTTTTTTTTTTTTGGTTTTAGATCCTGGAGAGCTTATGTTCAAAGGTAGTGGTGATCTTAATCCTTTCAATTCTGAGATAGAGAGAACAGCTAAAAAATTCAGAAAGGAAAAGAGGCAAGCCAACTTAGAAAAAGTAGTAGTTGACAAGGGAAGTATAAATCAAAATATGAGTAATCCAGAGAATGAGGAAATCCTGGGGGGCTATGCAATTAGAGGAGTGATAGTGGTTCAACGAGCATTGAAGGACTACTTTAGTCCTACTGTTGAAGGGTGCTATTCTAGCATCAGGAGGCCACTAGTTCAAGCGAATACTTTTGAAATAAAACCAACAATTATTCAATTGATACAACATTCGGTTCAATTGATGATCCCAACAAGCATATCGCAAACTTTCTGGAGTTCTACGACACATTCAAACACAGTGGTGTATCCGATGATGCAATCAGGCTTAGACTTTTCCCATTCTCTCTTCGGGATAAAGCTAAGGCTTGGTTGATTTCTCTACCATCAGGAAGAATTACTACATGGAACGAGTTAGTTCAAAAATTCCTTACGAAATATTTCCTACATGTCAAGTCTGCTAAGATGAGGAGTGACATCACAAATTTTTTCTAGCAACACATGAAGTCACTCTATGAAGCTTGGGAGAGGTATAAGGATCTCTTATGCAGGTGTCCTCACCATGGGTTGCGAATATGGTCACAAATGCAGACGTTTTACAATGGGTTGCTGTCAAATATAAAAGTGATGATTGATGCTGCAAGTGGAAAAGCTTTGAATAACAAAACACCGGAGGAGGCTTATAATCTGATTGAAGTAATGACGAGCAATAACTACAAAAGGCCTTTAAAGAGAAATTCAACAAGGAAAGTAGTGAGAGTGCATGAAGTTGATGGCTACACCGCGTTGGCCGCTCAACTCTCAACCATCTAAAAGCAATTGGGAGTTGCTGTAAAGGTAAATGCTATTGAATCGTCTTCCCTAACTTGTGAACTTTGTGCAGGAAATCATTTATCGAAGGATTGTCAAGAAGGAAATCCATTTGCTCAACTGGAACAAGCTAACTATGTTAACAACTTTCAACAAGGGCAAGGGAATTTGTATTCTAACACATACACTCCAACATGATGCAATCATCCAAATTTTTCGTGGAGTAACAATAAAGAGAACAAACCACCACTAGGCTTCCAACCTCAAGAGAAGAGATCTAATATAGAGAGTGTGCTCACTAAGTTCATGGAGGAGTCAAGAAAAAGGTTTGACAAGAATGAAGCTCAACTCCAAAAGTATGAAGTTTTGTTACAAAACCAATCCATTTCCATAAGAAATCTTGAAACTCAAATGGGGCAAATCCACAATATTTTAGCAGGAAGAGTTCAAGGAACATTGCCTAGTGATACAGAGGAGAATTTAAAGGAGAGAGTTATTGCTATCGTGCTGAGAAGTGGTAAGGAGTTGAAGGAAGCAAGCAAAGAAGGAGAAACAGGGGAAAAACTCGAAGATGGAAAAGAGGGCAAAACCAATTGTGCCATAGCACAGTGCCACGACATAAGGGTAGAAAATGACAAAAATGCCCAGGCTTCGACGAACGATGACACGACCCTCCTGTATCCTCGTAGAGTTTAAAAAAAAAAAAAAAGATTAGATAAGCAATTCGGTAAGTTCATGGACATGTTTGGAACTTTACAAATTAACATTCCTTTTGTAGACATGTTGGAGCAAATGTCGAAGTACGTGAAGTTTCTAAAGGAGATTATCACCAAAAAGAGGAGGTTTGAAGAACATGAGACGGTGATGCTTACGAAATAGTGTAGTGCATTGCTATTGAAGAAACTGCCACAAAGCTCAGAGATCCAGGGAGTTTCACAATTCCTTGCACAATAGGTAGTGTTCATTTTGCTAAAGTTTTATCTGACCTAGAAGCTAGTGTTAATCTCATGCCATTTTCAATTTATAAGAAACTAGGCCTAGGGGAAGTAAAACCAACCACAATCCATCTTTAATTAGCTAATAGGTCTATAAAATATCGTAGGGGAGTAGTAGAGGATGTCTTAATAAAGGTAGATAAGTTGATTTTCTTAGTGGATTTGATTGTTCTCGACATGGAAAAAGATCGGGAAATACCTCTAATTCTAGGAAGACCTTTTTCTGGCTACAGGTAAGACTTTAATAGATGTTCATCAAGGGAAACTAATCTTAAGAGTAGAGGATGAACAAGTAGAGTTTAATGTGTTTGATGCCATGAAGTACCCATTCGAGGGAGATACTTGTTTTGAAATTAATGTCCTTGATGATGTCATTGCCAAAACCATGGAAGAAAATTAGCCAAGCTCCCCCTTCGAGAATTGTCTAGTTAACGCTAGGACAAATGAAGATGAAGTGGATCGAGAAGAGTTGAAAGGGTGTTTAAGTTTCTTAAATCAACTAACATCAATTAAATCACCACCCACCAAGAAGTTCTTTGAGATTAATGCAATAGAAAGTCACTCCAACTCATCAACAAAGGAGCTGATGAGAATCCTAACCCATTATGCCAATCCCAATTGCTAGGGATTTCATTGAAGACTCAAGGACAACAGGAAGATCAACATTCGGCCCAAGCATCCCAAGCACTCAAGGAAGTTCACAAAATTGTCCAAGAAGTCTTAAAGTTCCAAGGCACGGCTCAAGCCCAATTTTGTGACCTAAAACGTGTACAAGAAGTGGGAGCAAGTTACATTGGCCCAAGCCCAAGTTTTGGGTGTCATTTGATTCAAATTTTGGAGGAAAAACCCTAAAAATTGTTGTTAAGGACAAGGGTCCTTAAATTAGGGAAAAGTTGCCCACTTGATCATTAAATGGTTATGGCTTAATTTTAGCATGTGTGGTGGACTTTTGTTTATGTATTTGAATGTAATATTTTAATGTTTTCATTATGTAATATTTGCTAGGGTAAATCCCTAATTTTTGTAAAGCCTATATAAAGGCCACTTGATCATTTTGTAAAGTGACTTTGAATATTGAATGAATAGTGACTTGTCTTGAGAAAGTGTTTTCTCTTGTTTCCTTTACCCAAGTTCGGCCAAACTTGGTGGTGGAGTATCTTTCAAGCTGGTGGAGTTTCCTTTAGGCTTGATTGAGTCCTTGGTCATCTCTTATGTAAGTTGTATTCCTTTAGTTTCAAGTAAACTCATTTTCCGGAATTTGTTTTGCATGATGTGTATGATTCCATTTGTTGTGCATTTGAACATAAATGATTTGGTGAATGACTGGAGCTTGTTATAAGGAGTTGTTTTTAGTCATTTGATGGTTGTGAAAGTGCATGAAGGGTGATAACCGAATGGTCATAAGGAGTTGAAAGAAAACCTAGCCTAGGTTGAATCAAAAGGGGTTGTTTTAGGGTAGTATATGAATTGAGGTTGAAGAAATTCATATCAGGAGCCTCCGAAACTCGAACTCAAACAGCTTCCATCTCACTTAAGGTATGCCTTTTTAGAAGACTCAAAGTTTTATCCTATTATTATTAATGCTTCTTTGAGTGATATAGAGGAAGAAAAGCTATTGAAGGTGTTACGGACATACAAGACAACTATCAGATGGACAATTGCGGACATCAAAGGTATAAACCCCTCAATTTGCATGCATAAGATTTTAATGGAAGAAAGTTACAAGCCAACGGTGCAACCACAAAGAAGACTCAATCCAACAATGCAAGAAGTGGTGAAGAAAAAAGTTTTAAAGTTGTTGGATGCAAGGATCATTTACCCAATTTTGGATAGTGCATGGGTAAGTCCGATCCAACTTGTACCAAAGAAGGGAGGAATGATTGTGGTGCATAACGACAACAATGAACTCATTCTGACAAGAATGGTTACAGGTTGGCACGTGTCAATTGATTATCGGAAGCTTAACTCCACGACATGCAAAGATCACTTCCCACTTCCCTTCATCGATCAAATGCTAGAGAGATTAGCTGGCCATGCATTCCATTGTTTCCTAGATGGATACTCAGGATACAATTAGATTGCAATAACACCAGAAGATCAAGAAAAGACCATATTCACATGCCCATATGGAACATTTGCATACCAAAGGATTCCGTTTGGACTATGCAATGCACTAGCCACTTTTCAACATTGCATGATGTCCATCTTCTCAGATATGGTGGAGAACTCCATTGAGATTTTTATGGACGACTTCTTCGTGGTAGGTAATTCCTTTTATTCTTGTTTATCTAACCTTTCTTTAGTTTTGCAGAGATGTGTGGAGACCAATCTAGCACTAAATTGGGAAAAGTATCACTTCATGGTACAAGAAGGAATCGTGCTAGGCCATAGAATCTTCATCAATGGGATCGAGGTGGATTGAGCAAAGGTAGAGGTCATTGAGAAGTTACCAGCCCCAAATTCCGTGAAAGTCATTCGAAACTTCCTTGGACATGCCAACTTCTATAGGAGATTTATCCAGGACTTTTCAAAAATCTCTAAACCTTTTTGTGATTTATTAGCTAAGGATGCATCTTTTAATTTCATTAAAGAGTGTTTCAAAGCATTCGAGTGCCTAAAAACTAAATTGATATCTGCTCCTATAATTGTTGTGCCCAATTGGGAATTACCTTTTGAATTAATGTGTGATGCTAGTGATTATGCAATAGCAGCTATGTTAGGGCAACAAAAGGTAGAATATTCCATGTCATTTATTATGCTATTAAGACATTGATGAGACCACAACTAAATTATGCCACAACAGAGAAAGAATTTTTAGCTGTTGTCTTTGCAATTGACAAGTTTTGTTCTTATTTGCTAGGTACAAAGGTCATCGTGCACACCAACCATTCTGCTTTGAAGTACCTCCTAGAAAAGAAAGATTCCAAGCCAAGATTGCTTAGATGGGTTTTACTTCCTCAAGAGTTCAACATGGAAATCTGAGACAAGAAGGGAACTAAGAATCAAGTGGCAGACCATCTATCTCGATTGGAAATAAGGGAAGAAGAGCAAAATGACGAAAAGCTAATCAATGAACATTTCTCGGATGAGCAACTATTTGCAGTGCAAGATGGACCTTGGTTTGTCGACATCACCAATTACATAGCAAAAAAGGCGCTACCTCCTGGAATGACATACCAAAGGAGGAAGAAATTTTTCTCCGACCTGAAATACTACTTTTGGGAGGATCCATTCTTATACAAGAAATGTACGGACCAAATGGTGAGGAGATGTGTATCGGAGAAGGAGATGGAGAATGTACTTTGACATTGCCATTCTCTAGAGGTCGAAGGGTATTTTGGAGCAACACGAACGACCACAAAGTTCTTCAATCAGGATTTTTCTAGCCCACTCTCTTTAAAGATGCATATAATTATGTGTTAACTTGTGATGCATGTCAAAGGGATGGGAATATTTCTAGGAAAAACGAAATGTCTTTTAGTAACATTTTAGAAGCAGAAATATTTGATGTATGGGGCATAGATTTCATAGGACCTTTTCCATCTTCTTTTTCTAACCGTTGCATTCTTGTGGCTGTAGATTACATCTCGAAGTGGGTGGAAGTTGTAGCACTATCGACCAACGATGCTTGTGTCATGGTGAAGTTCATAAAGAAGAACATCTTCTCAAGATTCAGCACACCTAGAGCTATCATAAGTGATGGAGGGTCTCATTTTTCTAACCAATAATTCGAGACATTGTTGAGCAAGTATGGAGTTACACATCAAGTTGCAACACCATACCACCCACAAACAAGTGGGCAAATGGAGGTTTCTAACAGGGAGTTGAAAAGAATCTTAGAGAAAATAGTGAATGCCTCTCGGAAAGATTCGTCCACAAAGTTGGATGACGCACTATGGACATATAGAATGGCATTCAAAACGCCACTAGGGATGTCACCATATAGGCTAGTATATGGGAAAGCATGTCACCTTCTAGTAGAGCTCGAGCATAGGTCATATTGGGCCATGAAGATATTAAATTTTGATCCAAAGGCGGTAGGTGCGAAGAGATTGTTGCAACTCAATAAGATAGAGGAATTTCGCCACAAAGCATATGAGAGTGCTTGGATTTATAAAAAGAAGACCAAGCTTTGGCATGATAAGCACATAGTGAAAAAGGAGTTCAAAATAGGAGAAAAATTTTTGTTATTCAACTCAAGACTTAGACTTTTTCTAGGAATGTTATGATCAAGGTGGTCTAGACCATTCATTGTAAGTAAGATTTTTCCACATGGGGCCACTAAAGTTCATCATCCAGTGAAAGGGACATTCCAGGTCAATAGACAAAGATTGAAACCCTATGTTGAGCATGGATTAGAAGGAGAAAGGGTTTCGATGTTTCTCCATGAACCAAAGTGAACATAAAAAGGTGTCAAGCTAAGGACGATAACTAAGCGCTTCGTGGGAGGCAACCCATGTTTTCAATTTATTTTACTTTATTATTTTTGGTGTATTAGATTGTTTACTTCATGTTTCTATCAGGAGCCTCCGAAACTCGAACTCAAACAGCTTCCATCTCACTTAAGGTTGCCTTTTAGAAGACTCAAAGTTTTATCCTATTATTATTAATGCTTCTTTGAGTGTATAGAGGAAGAAAAGCTATTGAAGGTGTTACGGACATACAAGACAACTATCAGATGGACAATTGCGAACATCAAAGGTATAACCCCTCAATTTGCATGCATAAGATTTTAATGGAAAAAGTTACAAGCCAACGGTGCAACCACAAAGAAGACTCAATCCAACAATGCAAGAAGTGGTGAAGAAAAAGTTTTAAAGTTGTTGGATGCAGGATCATTTACCCAATTTTGGATAGTGCATGGGTAGTCCGATCCAACTTGTACCAAAGAAGGGAGGAATGATTGTGGTGCATAACGACAACAATGAACTCATCTGACAAATGGTTACAGGTTGGCACTTGTCAATTATTATCGAAAGCTTACCTCCACGACATGCAAAGATCACTTCCCACTTCCCTTCATCGATCAAATCTAGATAGATGTAAGTTGTATTCCTTTAGTTTCAAGTAAACTCATTTTCCGGAATTTGTTTTGCATGGTGTGTATGATTCCATTTGTTGTGCATTTGAACATAAATGATTTGGTGAATGACTGGAGCTTGTTATAAGGGGTTGTTTTTAGTAATTTGATGGTTGTGAAAGTGCATGAAGGGTGATAACCGAATGGTCATAAGGAGTTGAAAGAAAACCTAGCCTAGGTTGAATCAAAAGGGGTTGTTTTAGGGTAGTATATGAATTGAGGTTGAAGAAATTCATATCAAATGGAAAGGGTAAGGGCAAGGGAAAGGCCTAGGCCAATCCCAAGCCCAAGCCCAAGCCTAAAGGACAAGAAGCTCTTAAGCCTGAGGGGCGTTAGGAAAGGTGGGAAGGTAGTCTGCTTCTATTATGGCAAGCCTGGCCATTAGAGGAAACACTGCAAGGCTCTCCTCGCGAACAAGAAGAAGTCAGACGCTTCAACTTCAAGTATGTACATGATTGAAATTAACTTCTCTCCTTCAACATTTGTACTGATGTGTAGGGACTAAGGTGTTAGCTGCTAATGGAGTTTACGCAGTGAAAAAAAAAAATCCCCAACAATGACATTGAACCCAAGAACCTTATACCCAATTTACATTAATCACATATGAAATGATATTGAATATTAAATTTCCAGATTTCATACCAGCATTTTTAGGCTCCTTCAATCGATACGAATCGCTTCCCTTCTAAGATAAGAGTGAACTTTCGGTATCCACATAAAGATAGGATGATGATTGACTTGCGGTCTCAAGTGTTAGCAAGACACACAAGCAAAAAGGATGCAGAATGGGACGAAGTTTTGGACCCTTTTGATTTCTAGTCATTTGAGGTATGCGAGTCATGCCCTTTAGGCAAGATGACCAACTCGCCTTTCATAGGACAAAGTGAAAGGGCTATTGAACTATTAGGCATCATCCATAGTGATGTATATAGTCCACTAACAGTTGAAGCCAGAGGTGGATATTCATACTTCATCACATTATTGATGATTTCAGTAGATATGGTTATGTCTACCTTATGACACATAAATCTGAAGTGTAATGACTGCTTTCTACTCATATTCTCATAAAATATGCATAGTAAAATACATGTAAAATAGTATAAAAAGTTAGGCCCAAATTTTCTTTTATTAAACATTTACATTCTTTGTACAAAACTCATGTCATATAGAAAACTATGAACAATAAGGTGGACAGTGTAGCCATTTCCCCTCGCTTGCCGACATCCATCCGACCGTGTCCTCACCTAGATCCTGGAAAAACATAGGAAACAATGGGGTGAGCACAAAATAATGCTCAGTAAGTAAATCCTCTACTCATCTATCCCTGTAACTCTTTCCCCTCAATTCTTTCCTTACAAATCCCATTACTCACTTTGCTTTCTCTTTCGGTTTCACTCCCTCTGTTTCTCTTTCTTTTCTATTAACTCTCTCTCTAGCAAGTCACGACCCCATCTGACCAGAGGCATGACTGGGACTCACTCCCACTCTCCGTGACTTTTACTCATTCTAGCCGATCGGACTTGGTTATGCATGGATTCGGAACCCTTGGCCATGTGAGTACATAAACTCTCTCTTGGGTAAACTCGGGTAGAGCCCTCATCTGCATGCACTCTCACGGGCTACACTACTTCTCTCTCATACTCATGTTGCTCTCTCAATGCGGCGTACATGCGGGGATACTCTACCCATTACTCACGGGTTCCCCATCGCACAACCTACTCTATTCTCTTGTCTAGCACTACTTTCTCTTTGATCTCTAGTGCTCATCCTCTCTCTTTCTCTTTACTCTTAGAGCAGCTTATGCTCAATTTTTCTATTCTTTCTCTACTCTCTTTTCTCTTCTCTAGTTCATAATTAATGCATATAGATGACTCATGCTCATTAATGCACTTATGATATGTAATTATGCCATGTAGCAAAAATTAAGGCTTTCTACTCTTACTCATGCTTCTCTTGAACATTTCATCGTACAACTCATGTGCATATAAAGCTCTACTTTAACTATAACTTTTCTCTTTTCTTTAATCATCCAAACAATGGGAGAAAACTCCCTCATAATCTCTAGATTCCTGTCAAAATAAACACACTTCCATAAGTGTTGCTCAAAACTCTCTCCGTCTCCTATCAACCCAACTCCACATCATAGAAGTTCAACACTTCTCATATCCAAACATATTCAATAATCATACATAACTACTAATCTCATCTCATCTCATCTCATCTCATCCCAGCAAATATAAAACATACATATACATACACAATCTCTACTCAATTAAATTCTCAAATCTCAACTTAGTTATGATTTACTTACCTTGTGAGGAAATAGCTTCTCTAATACTTCTCCTTTCCTTTGGTAGCTTGATTTCTCTCTACAACTTTAAATAACAACCACAACATAAGACTTTAACCAAAACATAATAAAACTCTCATCTAAAGCAAGAATCCTTACCTTAGGATGCTTTAGATTAAAACTCTACTAAAAAATACTCAAAAAGTCCTTAGAAATCCTTGGAAGATTGAAGGAAATTTGAGAAGAAGTAGAGAATGGAAGAGGCGGTAGAAATGGATGAAATGAAGGATTCTCTACATTTAACCCTTTTTAGCTCAACTTATACACAAGCATTCCCATTTTGCCCTTACTCTTTCTTGGAAATTCCACCTATATGCTTTGATTCCTTACAAACACACCCCTATACTAACATATTTTCCATGAAATTTCCTTACATTTTACTCCCCACTTTTCCTGCTAATTAGGGGTAGAATAGTCAAATTGCCTTTAAGGAAAAATATCTAAAAGTTAATACAACTTTTCAGCCGACCCGTCGCCGCGGCGAAGACAATTCTGTCGCCATGGCAAAACACTCCAGCAGCTACTTCGTGGCTGCAGCACCTCTTCGCCACGGCGAAGCCTGTAACACAACATTTCGCCAAGTCTTCATAATTTTCAGGGCAATCACTCAACCAACCCAATACATCCACTCAACCAAAGGCCAAGCAAACCAAAAATAACAACATATAAGTTTAATTGAAGCTGAATCAATGAACATTTAAGCAATACAGCAAATCTTAACTACGTACCTTAAGTGGGGCGTTACATGAAGCCTTTGATAAATTCAAAGAATTCAGGAATGAAGTATAGAATATGTTGGGCAAAAGTATTAAGGCTCTTTAGTCGAATTGAGAAGGTGAATACTTGAGCTCAGGGTTTTCTAAATACCTGAAGGAATGTGGGATAGTATCACAACTCACCCCTCCGTATGCACCCTAACATAATGGAGTTTCTGAGAGGAGGAACAAGACTTTACTTGACATAGTTAGGTCCATGATAAGCTTTAGTGATCTACCTACATCATTTTGGGGTTATGCCCTAGAGAATGCAACTCATGTACTAAATAGTGTGTCATCAAAATCTATAGATGAGACTCCATATGAACTATGGAGTGGGCAAAAGCCCAACTTGTCTTATCTAAGGATTTGGGGTTGTGAAGCTTATGTCAAGAAATTAACTTCCAACATGCTAGGCCCGAAATATGAGAAATGTATTTTTGTGGGGTATCCTAGGAAACCAAAGGGTACTATTTCTACCATCCAGAAGAGCACAAAATTTTTGTCGCTCGCACTGGTGTTTTCTTAGAAAAGGAATTTTTCTTAAGAAGTACTAGTGGGAAAAAAATAGAACTTGATAAAATTCTAGAACCACAAAATGCATTAGATGAAGAATGAGAGGATATGCCACAGGAAGTGGTTGAACATCGTTAGGAGGTCACTTCACAATCTATGATCAAAGTGAACCACCTTAAGTAGCATAGGAGCTACGTAGATTTGGGAGAATACGTCATGAGCCCGAGAGATATGGTTTTCTCGTGACTTAACAGGGTGACATACTGGTCTACCAAGACAATGAACCCAAAACCTACGAAGACGCTATATTGAATCCAAATTATGTTAAATGGCTTGAAGCCATAAAATCTGAGATGGACTTCATGTATTAGAACCAAGTATGGTCTCTAGTGGATCCACTTGAAGGGGTAAAACCCATAGGGTGTAAATGGGTGTTCAAGAAAAAGACTAACATGGATAGTTAGGTG